ATAATAATAATAATAATAATAATAAAGTAATAACAATAGTAGTAATAAAATAATAATAGCAACAATCATGGTAATAATGCCAAGCAATTAAAGAAAGGTGAAGAAGGATTAAAACCCCCTGTCAACAAAAATTAAACCCGAAAATAAAAAAGGCGTGCTCCATGATCCACAAACTAAACTATGTTTTTTTTTTCATCTGGTATGCTGATCTAAACTTCTCATCGTACTCCTGTGAGAGCTCAGTCATTATTTTTGTGAAAGTATCACTTGACCTGCACACCTCGGTTAGACCCGTGGCTATTTTTTTCAAAGTAACCTGAAACAAACTTGTTTGCAGTCAAGCAAAAACGAAAAGAAGCATAGTCAACTAAACTTTTTATAGCCCGCAGCAATATAACTACATTTGTTTTCGAAACTAACGCTGAAATTTCGAATTGAAAGCCATGATGACCGGTCATCCAAATTGTTGCAACGATTTAACAACTTCTTTGACCCACTGGTATAGAAATCATAAGCATACGCATTAAAGTACACCTGTAAAATCGATATCTCATCACCATTAAAGTCACAACTGTACAGACGAGCGACAAAGACCGGCTAGGCCGTAAAAACCATGTAGATCCGTAGAAAATACTCAGCTTATAAGTACCAGCCAAAAGCAAAAAAAAAAAAAAATCTTCATTCATCAACAGCAGTTTTCAAGCAGCGATCAAAACATCAAAAAAAACCTTGTTTCCACGATGATCTAGTGGATTAGTCAATCTAACAGGAAATAAGCCGCTATCAAACGTAAATTCTTCACAACAGGGACGTACAACATCATGCAACAGAGAATTGAGTGAAAAAACTGACTTCCCAGTAAAAGAATACACATCGCTCTGGAAAAAAAATATCTTAATATTTGCAGCAAAATCCTGTTAAAAACTTATTTGATATAATACACGTACATGAATCTTCAAGGCGCTATCGGTTCCAACGAGCGTTAAAAAGTCCCTCCATAATTCTTCCACTTTCTTATTATACGTGTTTAAAAATACCTCACACTCCTCTGGGAGGTCTTTTAAAAATACCTATAATCCAAGAGCATAATAAAAGCGTCAAAAATAGATAACTGAAATGCCAAAGAACATAGAGGAAATTATGTAAGGAGCGATGCATCAAGAACCACAAACCGCTGCTTCACTATCATGCGGATACGAAGTTTCATCGTTTGGGTCCCAAGTAAGAGGAAGCCTAGTATTAGTGAAAAGGTGCGCAAAAATATTGATTAACTCTTTTTTTATTTCAAGCGACGATCCGGTAGTACTGGCTCTATCACACAATCTATGAAAGACTCCATTTTGAAGCAGATAGACGAAAATCAGATTCCCTGGCTCTTCGCTCCACAAATGTGCAGCAACAGGAGCCAGTCCTTTCGGCATACCCTAAAATAAGAAAATAAAATTATAAATACACACAAAAGTAATAAATTACTAATTTTAAAGCTCACTTCAGAATCAAGTAAGTCTAGCCATCTAAGCAACTGAAACGAATATATCGCGAATAACTTTGTTTGTTTCTCCAAAACCTCTGCTCTCTTGCTGCTACAAGTGTGAAGAATAAACGAGTTCTTCAGCAACGCTAGAGCGGCCTAGAAAATTTCCGGTAAAAAAGACAAATTTAAGATGATAGAAAAAACAAGATATGAAAACAGAAATGTTTTGAAACAATACAGAAAATTAAATCAATTAGAATTCAAAAAACATATAACATAAAACGATGCACCTTAAAACGTTTTTCGATGCCTGTACTACTGTCAGACGGCACAGCAACTGAAAAGAAAAACGTGCAGCAGAAGAAGAGGGGAAAAATGTCTTTTAAATGAGAAGATACTTACCAGCCGTTTCATTTCTCTGATACACGAACATGAATAACCGAAGGAAGTAGGATACAGTAAATGGAAGGTTGCCACGAAGTGACGACAAACTTGCAGTCAGCAATCTACGAATCTAAACTCTCCTCAACTCACTATAAGCTCTAATAAGTATACAAAGATATGAAAAGAAAAAAAGCGGCGGAACAACAGGACAGAAAAGTACTGGTCACAAGCACAAAAAAAACTCCAGTAAATTAAAAAACTGCGCCTCATAATTGTTACTTATGACTGACAAAGTGCATCAGACTCACCATAAAAAAACTAAGGTAAGAACCAGTGAAACCAATAAAGCAATGAAAAATATAAAGAGAGCGTGAATTAATAAATGGAAATTCGAAGACATTGCAAAGATATTATAATTGAACCTTAGATGTAGGAATTGACATGAAAATAACGTTTCCGGAATGATCGAAACCACGACGCCCAGCACGACCAGACATTTGGCGAAACTGCAAAGGGGTTAAATTTGGTGTGTCTACCCCAAACAGAACTGTTTTGCATGGCATATTTATACCAAGGGCCAAGGTTGATGTCGAAAAGAGCAACCCAATATACCCAGATCTAGAAAAACATGAAAATAAACGACTTTACACCTTCACATGGCAACCTCTAAAAAGTGCAGAAGACGATTCGTCACCTGAATAGCATCTCGATACAACCACGTTCCGGCGCATTCAATCCTTCATGATGATAGGCAATGCCACGTTCAATAAGTTTAAGTAATATCTTAGTTGACTCCCTGCGATTTTTAAATTTCACTAATCGCTTTTTCACTTCCTCAACGAAATCTTCATCGTAATGTCTTACATGCAACTTATATCTGAAAAAGGGGGGAACAAAAACTGTAACAAGAAAATTATAAAAAGAATTGTTACGATAAAATCCAACCACTTACTTTGCCAAAACATTTCTCAACTTCAACCGTCGAGCAGCTAAAGGATCAAACTCGTCATCATCACCCATACGTTCCGTCTCCATAACATCCTGTCCACCATCATCATCCTCCCCTCTTCTGCCAGTTTTTTTTTTCATTTTTTCACGCTTCTTACTTAGCTCATCGCGCTTCCTCTTCGCAATTTTAAGTAATTTCTAAAAA